GACAATGTATTGTGCAGTTAATATCTGGCACACATGCATCATGTTGTAATGCTTGTGGTCTGTTACATAGCAGGGGTCTCTACTATTGTTACTGGTAAAGTAACCATGGCACATATTCATTGTGCAAACAGAGTAAATGTAATATTTAAATCCCAAATAATGCTGCTAAAGATCTAAATGCCAAACTTCTTGAAAACATTCAGCATTGACTTCCTCACACAACCACTAGAGGTCACTTAACATTGGAAAGTAACTGTAGATCTTCCTAAAGTGTTTGCACTGAAGTCTTCTTGCTTACATTCCAAAGAAGTGAACAAAATTCCAACAGCATCATCATGAAAATGATAAAAGTTTGAGAAATTATAAATCTATATGAAGATTAGAAGTGTGAGTAATTTTACTATTTTTATTTTTTATGCTGTTTTCTTATGCTATACTGATACTTTGTGTATCTGTGGTCATATATGGGTGTGATTTGCGCAGCAACCACTTCTGAGCTTTAGGTTTAAAGCAATCCACTTTCCATATATGCATGCAGAGTATGTTATGGCAGTTTATTAATAGGAACAAAACTGGCATCTAATAACAGAACTGTCATTTAGGTTTAACTGTTGCGTTTCAGTGTTTACCAAAAGAAATATTTTGTGATTCATTAGTATTTCAACCTCAGACTCCTCATTTCTGGCTCATTTGAAAAGAACATATAGAAAAAAATAAAGCATTTTTCATTACTTCTTATTGTAATGTATGTTATGAGCCTGGCCATCAGTCAAGAATGCACAAATTGAAGGATGCATGAAAGCATTCAACAGGCCACCAGTGTGCAGATTGTGTTGTTCTGCATGCTGCAGTCAGCTGTCCGAGGGCATGCTTATTCTGTGGTTTTCCTGTGAGCCTGCTGCTCACTAGATGGTCTACATTATGGTTATGATTTGTCAACTCTGTTATCTCGAACCCTTGAAATGCACCATTCATAGATTAAAGTTGAAGATGAAGTGGAAATTTAAAGTATAATCATTGCAAATACAAAAAGACAGCTAGAAGAGAAAAGAGTTATATCATGTCACATTCATCCTCAGACTCATACTCTGTTCTCTGGTTTAAGATATTTCTCGCTCTGCAGCTCTGTTAACAGAGACCACTGAAAGGGCATCTGTGTGTTAGGCTTACAGTGTAATTCTGTTTGATTCACAGTAATTTTTCTGAACTTATGGCTTACCAGCACAGTGCAAGGGACGACGTGTGAAGTTGTACAGAATTTTTAAAACGATATCTTATAACAACTAAGAGTCAGAGTAATATTATGAAGTACAGATTTCTGCGTCAAAACAAATGGATTGAATTAGAATCTAAAGGGGCCGTGTGTGTTCGGCTGTTTAATGTAAAAAGAAAAACCATATCAAATTAACGGGCTTCTTTCAATGTGGAGAAATAGCGGCTCTACTCTGAGCCCCACCCCAATGGCCAAACTTCTCACGCTATCCCTTGTCTTGGTTGACATGCCTCTTCAGTGTCTCATGAAAATCAGGGACAGTACTGCTGAATTAGCAGACCAGGTGGTGGTTCCTGTCTTTAAGAAAGGGGACTGGAGTGTGTGCCCCAACTATGAGTGGATCACATTCATCAGCCTCAGGAAAGTCTATGCCAGGGTGTTGGAAAAGAGAGTCCCACAACTCTCTGCTAATCCAGGGTTGGGTAGCAGGGCATCCAACCCCGTGAAGAAAATATGGTGGAGACTGTTGTTTCACCCCTTCTGTCTTGAAGAATGTCCCCTTATCAGCAGTGTTGGGACTAACGCGTTATTAAGTAACGCGTTACAGTAACTACGTTATTATTGTGGTAACGAGCACGGTAACTAGTTATTATGCCAAAACCGGGAACGCGTTACTCGTTACTGGGATTTAGATAGGCTCGTTATTCGTTACTTCATGTGGTGGCTATCGCGGAGCTTCCACAGATTCAATAACATTAGCAAGTGGTGGAGGCCAGCAGGTGGATGAAGGAAAAGGGAGGAGAGACCCGAAGCGGGAGCGTCATTGCACTGGATTCCAGCCATAGCCCGCCGCGTACCATAAGAACGCCGAAGGTCTCCTTTCGCGTTCCTCAGGAATGCTGCGAGACGTGACAGAACGTCGACATGTTACACCTCGGGAGTGAGAACGGGCTGGTGGGTGCTATGTTACTGATGTTGAACTTTATTTTGTTCATAAGGTTAATTATTAGAGTTGCCAACCATCCCGTAAAAAATGGAATCGTCTCGTATTCAGAGAAAATAGTACACGTTTCGTATTGAGGTGAAAAAGAACAGTTTGTCCCGGACTTCAGCTACAATGAAAAAGACACAAAGCTGGAGTTATTCTGTGTTTACGCTGCACAGCTGCCTCTTCTTCTCTCATCCTCTCACCCTCCCTCTCCTGTTTCTACTTCAATCATGAAACTGATCAATGATCAGCTGATCGGCTTTTCTCTCTTGTTTATTTATCGCCCACTTTGCGCAGAAAGAGGAAACCAGCGGATGTCGCGGTAAACAACAGCAGCACTTTTAAGCTTGATCAGCTGTTGTTAGAATTCATTTAATATTAATTTCTTGTATCAGCTGATGTTGGCTGGAGCCACAGCTGTAAACCTGCTGGTCATGATATGGGTTTGTATATGTGATGAGAGGGAAACATGAAGATGAAACCAGGAGATGTCCTTACTGAATCATCAGAGCTGTGATGGAGAAACAGGTTTACCTTTTAGGTTGATCTGATATCCTCGTGTTGGTGTTGTTCCCAGATCATCATACTAAATGTTGTTCCAGGATCAACATTGCAAGTGACCAATCAGAATGTTGTGACGTCATACTTTTGCGACTTCGGGAAAAACCGGCGTAAAACAAAAAACTGTACTAAGCTGCGTGAAACCGCCTCTGTCCGCCGATCAACGGACCCTACCCTAACCCTCCGTAACCCTTTAATAAACAGTAAGCAGAATTGATATTGTCCTTGCAACATTGGAATTTCATAAATGCACGAATGGCTTGGCGCGCAAAGGAATAACGTCACAACAATGTGATTGGTCACTTGCAATGTTGAACCTGGAACAACATTTTCATGATGGTCTGGGAACAACACCAACACGAGGATATCAGATCATCCTTACCTTTTAGGTGACATGAATGAGTTGAAGGGAAGTTATGAACTGTTTCTGAGAGACAAATAACACCAGGATCCTTTTCTAAGTAGCTGACAGCTGGTAACTGTGCAGGGGCGGGTCTAGCAAAGTGTTGCCAGGGGTCCATGTAGGGCATTAAAAGGGAGAGGGGGGCACAAGGAAATACTTTCTTATTCTCATTTAAAATGTCTCACTTTTAAAAAAATAATTATCTGAGTCTTGCAACAAACAATTGATAGATTATAATGGATTGGATTTTTATATAGCGCTTTTCTAGGCACCCAAAGCGCTTTACAATACCACTATTCATTCACTCTCACATTCATACACTGGTGGAGGCAAGCTACAGTTGGAATATGACATCGTCATATTCCAAATCCTGTGAGCTGCTTTGTGTTGCTTTGATTTGATATGATATGTTTTGTAATTATAGTTTGCATAGCAATTTATTTCCAAATAAAGGCCAAGGAAAATATTAGAAGACAGCATTGGTTTGGTATGAGATGTTATGCTTGTGCATAAATATCTTTAAAAAGTACAACAGTGAAAATATGTTTGCATATTGAGGCTTGTGGTGGTGTGTCCGCAGACACAAAAGATAACCAAAAACTGATTGAAATCTAAAAAAATAGTGATAATAATTTTAGAGAGTATATAATTTCAAGGATTAGTCTAAATCAACAATTTAAAAAAAGGCAAAGGAAGTATACTCTTTAAAGACATTCAACAGACCATGGGTACGAAAAGATATTTTTTATTTAAAAAATTTAGTTTCCTATAATAAGCGCTGTAATTTACACAAATCTGACAAAATCATCAGAATTCATCACTCTTTTTCTGGATACTTTGTTAGTTTTACTTCTAAAGTTATTTACATGCAACAGTCACCAAAACTACAATTTAAGGAAAACATAAAGAACAATTAAAACTAAAAATTAAAATTCAATAATGACTAACTCTGTTCAGTTACAAATAAATAAAACAAACTACGTATATAATTTTCAGTGGAAGACAGCGTTTTCTCCATCTTGAATCCGTCTAAAGATTTTTTTGTCCATTGTGAGCCTGGAACCAGACTTGTGTTAAACACAAATCTTCATCCTGAGAAACAATTTGACATTTAGAATCATAACTTCTTCTGATATTAAGTAATTACTTAAATGAATACTGCAATCATTAGAACAATATGGAATTTTAAAAAGGACGTTCTGTTTGAATGCCATATGTCATTAAAAAAGTACTGACACATTATTTGTGTTTATCAGTGTTGTGTGTAATGTATTACAAACTAATAAACTGCTATAATCACATTATAGTTAGGGATGGGAATTGATAAGAATTTAGCAATTCTGATTCCATTATTGATATCACTTATCAATTTTATTCCTTATCGGCTCCACTTTGAGAGCCAGCACCATCAGTAAGAAGCATATCAAAGACATTACATTTGTGCAAGTTATTCATGCTGTGTGGACTAATGTCTGCGAATGTTGCAGGTATTTCCCCTCTTTGTTGTGATCAGTGTTGCAGTCATTCCTCCAATGAAATAGTGTATTAATGAAATTAATTTATTACATTACATTCGCATTTATCCTGAAATTATCTGATATTAGTGGTCATTTAACAATATAAACCTACGAGCTACAGCCCCCCCCCACACACAAACAATACAAGTACTTGTCCTAATAAGGACACACAATTGATCTTTCTCTTAGTTTTTAGGTATGAACCCAAAGCTAACAGCACATAGCAAAGTTGAAAACAAGCACAAACAGACTTGATTCTGTTGAAACATGAACAGGTAGAAATGGAGGCTTCAGCCTGACTGCTAATCACTTCCTTTGCTATATAAGTTCAGGGTCTGGCTGTTTTGCTGGGGTCAGCACTCATTTAACTTTAATGTTACTCTGGGATTTTGGCTATCTTAGCACTAGGTAGCGTTGGCATGCTTTCAAAGCACTGAAGTTATGTTATTTGCATAATACAATTGTTTCTGTTCTGGACACAGTTTGCACTTCTGCTCCTGCTCTCATCCTTTTGTGCATTAAAACTAAAAGTAATGTCTATATAAAGGCTGCAGACTTCGCCACTATCTTCTGATCCGGATTCCCAGTAGTTAATTTCCAAGGAAGTGAACTGAATTCCAAGGAACTGAACTACTGAGAAGAGTTGGTTCTACTCAATTCCCAAGTATAGTAATGTAATGAATAACTGTAATAAATTCAGTAATCACATGAGTCACATCAGTAATTATCCCCCCTTGCATTTGTGGTATAATGAGCTCACTTTAGAGTATGTGATGGGAAAGGATAAACTGTACAGCAGTCTACAGATTTTAAAGAGACTGGATATTTTTATTTCACAAAAAGACATGCATGTGGTGACAGAGTGGAAACTCTGCCCAGGTCACAACAACAATCCTTTACTTAAGTCTATTTTATCTTATTCTCCTATCCTAAAAGAATTCGAATCTAAATCTACATGGTGCAAAACTGTGTCTCATTGTTCTTGTAACAGTGACAATAAAGATCTATTCTATTCTATTCTATTTGGTCTGTTTTCTAACGCTGTCAGCTTTTTGTTAAAAGTTTTTTTCCCCTTTCCTTTTCTTTATGTTAAAAGTTAATCACCTGGGTTCATTCCCATTAGGATAGAGATTATGTTAATGTGTGGGACTGTAACAGAAGGTTTATATAGTTAACTGCTAGCTATGTGATGTAAAAACATTGTAATGACTAGCTAAAAAAAAATTATCCATCACTTTGTAATTTTGTACAGTAATTGATGATCTTATAGTAAGTAATTGATAATAATGTGTATTGCATTACTCTTTTGAATAGTGACCCACACACAGCTGTTTATGCAATAAAAAAACAAAAACAAGTGTAGATAAGAAAATGAAGAAGAGAAAGTTTACCTCATTCTGTCTCCTTTGATTATTGTGATCTGGTCTGTTCTGAAAAAATTGAAGTTCTTTTTCTGCATAAACAAAAATGCACTATCATACTGGAGCATTCAGCAGCAACAGTGCCATTAAGAATTTGCCATTTAATGGTTGTAGATAGTTTTGTGGAGGACTGTGTGTGTGTGTGTGTGTGTTTGAAGGTGAGTCAAACAATTCGAAAAATTAAATTCTAATAATTAAAATATACAGTACCTGTTTTCCGACACAACTGATAAATAAAAATAAAGGAAAAAAATGAAATGAGAATAGAAAATCCTGGTGTAAACATCATCAGCCAGGGCACGAGACTGGAACCACAGGTTCTGTCGTAGACAGCACGAGGAGTGGAGTCAGGTCGAGTATTGGAGTCAGAGTGAAGAGTGGAGTCAGGGCAAGGACTGGAATCAGGGCAAGGACTTGTGTGAGGTGAATCTGCATGAAATAAGTAGTGTATTAGATCTACATTTTTACTACAATCCACTTATGTATAGTGCTTTGTATAGTGTGTTTAGTTTACACAATATAGATATAGTACTGACTTTAGTTATTGTACGTCTTAAGTGGCAAGCACACTGCTCTGTTTACTTCATGTAAGATGACTTTCAATCACAAGAAAGCCCCACGCTAAAGTATATCCTGCTTTATCGTCTTTTCTACTCTAAACGGACTATTATTTACAAAAGTAATACCATAATGCATATTCAAACACTTCAAACCAGCAAATAAAATTATAAACACATTAAGAAACATTTTTTACAGCAAGACTTACCTTTGCATTCCCATTTGAAAAAAATTCAGGTTTAATAATATTAACATCATTTGCAGTTTATTATTTTCCTTTACGTGTTTTACTGGATATTAAACATGAGTATTTTTTAACTAAGAAGGTGATGCAAAAACAATAGCCAAAAACTTGGTGTGCAGTGTGTACTTAAAAGTTTGTGGAAACTGGACAAGTGCAGGACAAAAGAAGTGGAAGACCTAAAACACTATCTACACCAAATGAACTGCATTTGAAAGTGATTTCCTTAAGAAAATGTTAAAAAACAATCCACCAAGACTTGCAGCTGGAAATGCAGCTGTCCCTTCAGTTGATACATGTATGGTTCACCTAGGCTAGGGGTCGGCAACTTTCAACATCATAAGAGCAATTTTAGCTCTTTCTACCAAAGAACTGGCCAAATTACCCAAGAGTTGCACTGAAAATCAGGGACAAAATAAAAAATAAATAAAAATGAGGGATGGGTAAAGATTTTTGCTTATGTCAGAATTAAATACAGTAGATGTAATGCACAGAAGCAATGTCTTTGTTAAACAGACTTCAGCAGGACAATGTCCCCAAACCTACAGTCAAAGTCATTAAGAACTATCTTCAGCCTAAAGAAGAACAAGAAGTACTAGACGTGATGGTATGGCCCCCACAGAGCCATGATCTCACCATCGAGTGTATGAAAAGACAGAAGGATGTGAGGAAGCCAACATCCACAGGAGATCTGTGGTTAGTTCTCCAACATGTTTGGAACAACCTACCAGCCGAGTTCCTTCAAAAACTGTGTGCAAGTTTACCTAGAAAATTTGATGCTGTTTTAAAGTTGGTCACACCAAATATTGATTTGATTGAGATTTATCTTTCATTTGTTCATTTACTGCATTTTGTGGATTGATGAAAATAAATGATTAACACTTCCATTTCTGAAAGCGTTCTTTGTTTACAGCATTTTTCCTCACCTGCCTAAAAGTTTTTCACAGTACTGTATGCATATATATGACAAACCAACAAAAAAACCCCAATCACACATGAGTACTTACTGATTAAGATTCTTGTTGCGATACTGGCATATCTGTGGTCATATCTGACCTGAACGCTTGTGCCATCTACCCACTGTTCCTTTTCAGTTCCACAGTAATAGAGGCCCTCGTCAGAATCAGAAATATTCATGATCAGCAGATCATAGGATCCAGAGGACTGATTCTTTTTAAAGTGGAAGCGTAATAGAGAATTCACTGAAATTGCTCGGTCACTGATTTTTTTCCATGCATCTTCTTTTAGTTTCAGAACAAGAGGAGGTTGATTTTCATGGGTACAATTTCTGTACCACACAATATATTCCTCAGAAAATGCTTCACAGTCACAATTCAGAGTGACGTTCTGTCCTGATGTCACTGTCAAATCCACCACTGATCCAGAAGTCCAATGACCTCCTGAAATACAAACACAATAACAAATTCTAAGTGTTGAGTACAAGATGTGATGTAGATTTCCAAATAGAGTTGACACATTCATTTAATGTTTTATAATATTAATGTATAATTTAATTAGTTGTACAAAATATTACCTAAAAGAAGGACAAGAATGACATGAAGGCTGTCCATGTTTGATGATTACCTGCAGTTAAAAGACAGTAAGAATGGTGTGACTCTCGAATGTCATCGCCTACACATTACTTTTCTACTAAAGGAAATGCAAGTTGCGATCGGGTGGTGGAGTGGAACCTTCTATTCTGTGGTTACACTGTGTCAGTGCAATGTCATGTGATGGTCTGGATGTAAAAATTAAAGTTCTTTTAACATGACAGACTGCTTTTCAACATGTTTTTCAGTGTGCCACGCAGGGAGAGGGTTGGGGGAGGTTTACCAAGATCTAGTGTGACACTTGCACAAATCTCCACGTTACAAACTATTTTCAGTGTGCTAGCATATCCGCTTCATACTTCAATAAAAATGAACAAATCAAGTTGCTAGATGCATATGAATACAGATGTAAACTTTATCTGACTCGAAACTACTTCTATTACTACTAAAATGTTTCAGTTATTCTTTTTTTAGTTTAATTCAATTCAATTCAATTCATTTTTATTTATATAGTGCCAAATCACAACAAAAGTCGCCTCAATGGCCTGTAGATTTACTGCTTTGGGTCAGTCTTACAGCAATGATCGAAAACACTATTTTCCAAAAACAGCATAAAAAGCTATGAGCTGGTAAATTTAGTGGAACATTCAACAACTGAAGAGTAACGTTTTTGTTGTGAGTTGGTCAAACTCACTTAGCATAGAGTTATAAAAATACGAAATATGTCTATAGTGATGGTGATTTCTGTACTTGAAACAACAGAGTGCGTCCCTCTTATCAGAAATCTGTTCTATCTTTTGGTTTTAGAATTAAAAAATAAAGATTGAATAAAGTACGGGGTTCACAAAAACATGTTGCATTCTGTCGTCCGAGTAGACATTTGTTTCTGTGGTTTTCCTGTGAGCCTACTGCTCACTATATCGTCTACAATGGTGGTGGTTTGTGAGCACCTTCAACTTGTGAGAGTTTCCAAAAATATGGGGCATGCGTTAAAGCTGAAGTGGAAATTTAAAGCGTAGCTTAAAAAAAAACTTACAAGAACAAAAAGAGTCTTGTTTTATATTAAGAATCAACATTGTGCAGATTTCTGCCAACCAATGGTAAATGGGGGATTCTTTGAAAAATACATATCTTGCATTTTGTCTTGTAGCTGTTAGTAAACAGAATTAAAAGTTTGATCTTTACCTCACTCCTACAGATTTCACTCACATTTTGATCTGAATTTTTTTGTTTTGCCTTCATGGTGTAGCAAAGACACATATCAGTCAATTCAGGAACATAACACAGTGTAGAAATATATGAGGTTTCATTTCAGATCTTTTAATAATCTATAATATGAATTTTGGTTTTAATATGAGTTATACCCTGGTGCTGAACTGCGTGGTTATTCTCCACCATCATGGTGATAATCAGCCCCTTTTGGTTTGAGATTCCCTTACTTCACCCCTGCCTGCCTGCCCAGCTACCCATCTTTTCTGCTCATCCATGTCTGGAAACCTTGTTCAGGATTTTTCTGTCCAGAATGCCACATTTGACTTCATCTGCACACCTTCTTCTCTCTGGCACCTCTGGTAATACTTCTGCTAAGCCCATCCTTAATCTACCTGTTTACTCACCACTTGGCTATAATTTGGAACAGTATTGTCAACTGCCAACTCCCCCCACGCTTGTCCGGCCTGGTAAAACACTAAGGCAGAATCCAGCTTAATTTAATTAATTGATTAATGAATTAATGAATTGATTAATTAATTAATTTTGACAGAACTCCTGAGACCACCCTTAAGTTGAGCCCTGTCTTGTTCCTCATAACCCTGCCCCTTTACACCTGCCTATTCCACAATAAAGTTGGTTTAACTGCTAGCACTGCTCCGAGCATGCTCCTTGACCCTTGCCTGAACTGAGCTATAAACATCAGACAGATGGCCTCACATTTCAATTCAATTCAATTCAATTTTATTTATATAGTGCCAAATCACAACAAAAGTCACCTCAAGGCCTCATTTCACTTCAAAAGCTCACAAGAATAGAATAGTTTGTTATACAGAGGAGTTCGTTGTCTATTCAGTGCCCAAATCCTGCGGCTGGAAAACAAGTCCAAATCATCACTTCTCTACCACTATGTTTGACAGTTGAGAAGAAGTATTGTTTTTGAAGAGTAGCAGCTGGAATGCCTTTATTTTATTTTATTTTTTTTATTCCTTTTGGGTTTTGTTTTTGCATTTTTGTTGCAGAGTCTCACCCTTTGGTAAATTTCCTGTGATGTCCACTCCTGGAAGGCTTTAAAAACTAATGTCAGCAGAAAAGAAGGATTTTAATATTAATCAAGTTAGTTCTGGATTATTTTTCAAATTTCAGTGCTTAATAATTTCTCAGTACAGTGTAAAAGACCTTGCTGTGGTTGAAACTGTGCATTTTGTTATCAAGGACAAGGAAGAAGTGTCGAATTTTTTACAATCACATTTATTATTTATACTACTAATTAGAGAGGCTTAAAAAAACAGTAGAAGGAGAATTGCACCACAAATACAATCGCAATTTAATATATTAGCTGCATGAACAGATAACATAATATTTCTGCTTCAGTAAACTTCTGTAAAGGTCTGTATTCTTTGGTATACTGTAAACTACTACAACTGATTTGAAAAAACAAAACACTCAAACATCATAAACGACAAACACCACTGTTTGTTGTTTATGATACGTTTCTTTTGTCA